CTATCATCATATTTTGCTTTTGTTCTATCATAGGAATTATATTTACTATCAAAGTCATGTTTTGTTTTGATTTCATCGAAAGCACTTTTACTCTTTGCAAAATCACTTTTTATTATTTCATAAACTTTAAGTTTTTATAATATATTAAGTTCTAATTTTTGCAACCATACAAAACAATTTTGTTTTCATGTTTATCGTTAATCCCCTTAATTGCATAATGCATAAAAGCAGCATCTATTTTTCCGAAATTACACAACTCTTTCATTTTCAAATAATATTCTTGCGCGGATTCAGAATCCATCATTCTACGTCTACTCAAAAGATCATGCAAATTAACAGAATTAATTTCAAAAGAAAATTAATCAATCAAAGCTTCTTTTAATTTTTGCCATGAATTTATTTCTGGTACAGTTCTGGCAAATAAAGAGGTGTTACCACCAAGAGATCTTTTAGCAAAAATAAATTTTTACAAATCAGACAAATGAAGCAATTTTGAAATATTTTCGAAATGTTCGAGCCAATGAACAATATTTTCATGTGATTCTGCATTATACTTAAAAATAGTACTTTCGATATCAAAATAATTAATAGCAACATTTTGAAATTCAAAACTTCTAAATGTTTTTTTGTCATCTTTACTAGAATCAAAATTTTTGTTTTCAACATTGCACTGCATTGAAAAAATACTTTCAATCTTTTTATTTATCATATTTTGATTAGCTGGCTTCGAAGTTTCAGTTTCACTTCTATGATTATTTATTTCTTTTTCTGACTAAGAGCTGGACGCGTTGGCGTCGTTCACAAGCTCTGCCATTTGGTTTAAATCCAGTAACAAGGTCAAAATATTCTTAGCTATTTCTGTTTTATACCTTCAAAGGAAAAATTGAGAATATTAGAAACAGTTTTTATTTCGTTAAGTGTGAATTTGTTTTTCAATATACTTTAACTTATTTTTAAATTCTTCGCTTTCAATTGTGAAATCAAAACCATTAAAATTTCTTAATAGTTTTCGACTAGAACGATCACCTTCTTCATCAAATATGAATTTATGTAGTTATTTTAACTGTTTTATAATTCCTCAATGCAATGCTTATTTCTTTAATATCATCAAGAATCATTTTTAATGATTAAAAATCTACATACCCCTTTTATACTTGCTGAGATGAGATTGACAAGAATCGAAAGTATCGTCAGAACATCAGAAAGAACATCATTCGCTTATTTATTGTTCGTTAGAATCAAATATATATTTATCTTGATGAAAATCAAAAATAATTTTAAATTGATTTAAATCGATCTAATTCCTTCAATATCCAATTTCTTTACGATCTCACTTCTGAATTTGTGATTTGGCAGGTGTGGCCAGGCGACTTTGAATATGAAAATAAGGATTTCTTCCAGTAAACAAAATTATACATTGACAAATAACTTTACATGAATATGGACGATTCACATAACAAACAAATTATACAAATAATAAATTCGAAAGCGTTCATCTTAGAACTGGGCCAGTACTTCTCTTTGAAGTACGTACGTCTTTCACTCTTTTTCAAACTGTCTTCTTACTGACTTTTTGTCTTGTGCGCAGGAGGTGTGTCTAAAGAATTGCTTCTTTTAAAGTTAAATACTAAAAAACATGATTAAAAAGAACTTGGCTTTTAAAATTTATTGATGAAAATTTATCAAAGAACAACATTACTTCTTTAACCTACTAGTATCACTAGTAAGATCGATACCAATTACAATGAATAGCACTGGGGATCAACTTTTTTTCTGTTGCATGAGGAGTTTTAAGAGATTTTCGATACCGTCGAAAAATACAAGTTTTAAAACGTTATATATAACAGAAAATTGCACAAACTTTACTAAACCACTGTCTCGGACTTCCTAGTCTCTAATTCCCAAGATTCCCTCTGAACCCACCAATAATTATGAAGTACAAAATATTAGCAAGAAACTAAAATCAAAGAAGGCACCAGGTGATGACAATATTAAGAATAAAATGGTTAAACTTTTACCAAATACTTACATCTCCACCTTAACAGATATTTACAATGCCTGTCTGCACTTAAATTATTTTCCCACAAACTGGAAGAATGCTTCCATTATTCTGATTCCCAAAGCAAACAAAAACCTAACCTTACCCGAGAGCTTTAGACCAATCAGCCTATTGTGTATTTTTGGTAAAATTCTAGAACGTATATTGTATAACAGAATAAAGCCTTTTCTAGGCTGTCTGCCTAATGAGCAGTACGGTTTCAGAAAAAACTTAAGATACCACCAAACAACTCCTTCGAATCATTGACTTCATTGGTAAGGGCCTGCACAACAAACAGACAACTGCATTTCTCATGCTTGACATCAGCAAAGCATTCGATCGAGTTTGGCACGCTGGTATCGTGTACAAACTAATTAATTTAAACTTTCCCTATGGCATTCATGGGTGAAAGCCCTTATATAGCAAGACGGAAAAGAGAAAACCCTGGTACGTAAAACATTTCATTCCAGCATTTTTTTCGAAAAAAATGAAATATCTGTAACTATCAAGATTTCTTTTATAATTCTGGCATATATATAAAACTGCTTCTTTTCCAAGATAAAGTAGATATT